CTATGCATAATGTAAGAGCGAAAAGGGGGCTATATAATGGGCTTGGGCTATTGCTTAAGCCATAATACATGCCTATGTCGGGCCTATATTGCACCCAACCCTTTTATATAATAAGGTATATACTTAAAAGATAAATTTAGGGTTGGGCCCTTTTAGGGCTTAACTTACTTCTTAAATATTATAATTTATAACTCCTTTTAAGTACCTTTTAGCAAACGCTTAAGGCCAACCCATAACATAAGGGAGTTAATGCAAAGTCTTTTATAAGTTTTAAATATATGCTAAAAATAAAGAATATTAAAATAATACCATTAAGGCTAATTATATTATTTACTACCTTAATAGCTATTTATAAAATAGCTTCCTTAATATAAATTCCCAAAAGTTTAGCATAAAGGATATTAAAAGCTTATTAAAGCAAAGCATAATACCTCTTAACCTTGCCAATAAATTAATATACCTTTATTAGCACTTACTTGCAAGTAATGCTTATAATTCATGCAATGCTTTAAAATTCTGCTAAGGTAAAGTTAATTTTAATATTATAAATAATATAATTTAAAGGTTTTAAATAAGTATTTATTTAGCATTGCTAAATAGCCTTTTATATATTCTTTATAAAAAGAGAAATAAGAAATCGCCCAGCTTAAAAAAAGGTTACCAAATTAATAACTTGCAAAATAAGCAAACCAAGCAAATACATAATATCCATAATAATCTTATAATTAAAATTAATATTATCTTAAAAATTAAACTTAAAATATTATAATATTATAAAATAAAGTTAATAATAATAATAAAACTTAAACATTGCTTTTAAAATAAAAGGATTAATATCGCTATAACCGGTATTAATAAAAAAGCATGAAAGATAATTAATTAAAGGGTATTTAAACCTATAGTAAAGTCGCTAAAGCTTTATTTTTATTAGGAATATTACTAGCATATTATTGCTTCCTATATTAAGGAAAATCCATAAATATCCCTACTTTTAAGTAACTAAGAAGGTCTTCTCTAAGTATTTATCTTTTTATTAAACCACCTTATTAATAATATTCCAAAGGAAGAAAAAGTTTTTATTTATATCCTAAATATAAAGAAGGAAGGGAATAGGCTTATCCATAACATAAAACGTTAATAGCCCTGCTAAAGTATTAACTTATATTATATTAAGTAACTTAATAAGTAAGCCTAAACTAAATTATACTTATGCTTTGCCAGCTTATATAATGTTTAAGTATATAAAAGATACTTAACGTTATAAAGCTTGAAATTGCTTATATTTAATTATTAAGAATATTACTGCACTTATATTTAGCATAATGCTTTAATATTGCTAATAAAAGTATTAATCTTAAATAATAAATATTTTTACCGTTAAATAATTTTTAAAGTTAATGCAAATATTAAAGCTACTTATGCCGTTAAAAAAATTATAAAAGAAGGCTTAGTTTATTAAAAAGATATAATAAATACGCCCCTTCTTGCCATTATTAATAATTAAAATTATTATAATGCCAGCAACTTTAAAGTTAAGACTTTTAAAGCTAATAAGGAATATATTAAACTTATTATTATTAACTTATTATTTAATATCCTTATATATATAAATATATATAGCTTTGGCATGCTATTAATCTTTAAGTAAGTAATTTATTAATTAATATCTTTCTTTATAGCACATAAAACACTTCTTTTTTCTGCATTACATATCATTAATATTGCCTCCGCTAAGCCAATATCCGCTACTATAGCCACCTTTATAAGGTCCTCCACTATACCCGCCGCTTTTAAATTAATAGGGCTAACTTAGGCGGAAGTTAAATTAAAAGCCATTACCCTTAAAAAGAAGTTAAGAATACCTTAAGCATTAATTATTATTATTATACCGCCTATTAAGATAATATTGCTCTTTAATATTCATAATAACTAAATTATTATTATCCTAATCATTATATTTATTAACATAGCCTTATTCATAGGCTTATTAATCATTTCTTATAACTATATATTGCAATATAAGGTTTTAAGCCTTTAATGCCTTAATATATTATTGCAAAATAAAGTAAAGTTGCTTAATATTTATTAACGCTATTAAGATAACATAATGGAATTTAGGAATGCCTTATATTACTTGCAAAATCATATCTTATAAAGAGCCATTTTTATAAGTAATATACTTAAGTGCTTTATAATAAAGTTATATTTTATTAATAAGCATTTAAAGAATATTTATATAGCTTTTATATAAGTTTTTTTATTAAAAAGTAAAAAAAGTTAAAGTATTTTAATTTATAAAATAATTATAATAATTATTATTTATATTAAAGTAATTCTTAAGTTTCTTATATATTTAAGCAAATAAATTCTTTTAATTAATAACTTAAGTATAATATATCTTTGCTAATTCCTTAAGCATATATAAAAAAGCTGCCTTAAATTATTAAGGCTAAATTTATAAATTGCTGTAAACCTTATAAAAAAGAAGGATTTTATTATTAAGAATATTATATAATTCTTTAATAAATATTTTATTTTTATAATAATATTTATTTAAGTTAGCTATTATATTTAAATTAAGTAGGAAGTTCTTTATTTTTATTAAAGGCAAGAAGGCATAATAATTATATATTATATAAAAATTATTAGTTAAAGAAAGGTTATTGCCTTTTCTTAATGAATTAAAAGGTTTTAAAGGGCTATTATTACCTTTACCGTTATTGCTAAGTAGGCTAGGCAGTTTAAATAATTTAAAATTAAGAAAGTTATTATTAATAAGTGGTTCCTTATTTTTTATTAAGGCATAATTAAAGTTAGGAATAATATAAATACTTAAATTATAATCTTAAATTTAATTAATCTTGAATATAATATAGTATTCTTGCTTTTAATTTATTAATTATTTAAAATAGTTTAATGCTTTAAGAATATATATAAGTCCCCTTAAAGTATTTACTTTTTAAGTATAAATGCTCTTAACTTAAAAAGTTTTCTTAATAATGCATAGCAAGTTTTTATTAACTTATATAAATATTAGCTTAATTTAGCTATGAAAGTTCTTAATAAATACCTTATATGCCTTATTACTTAATATATATACTATAGCTTAAATTTAGCCTTAAACATAGGTATTTAAGTATTATTTGCTGCTAAGAAATCCCAAGGGATTTATTTATATTAAGGGATTAAGTATTTTAATAATGCTTTTAAGTATAAGAATATAGTTTATTTTAATTAATATTAATAAATTATTTTAGCTAGCAGTATTACTTATTATATTTATTATTTTATTATTTTAATAAAGTAATAATAAAGGTATATTTAATTTAGGAAAGAAAGTAATAAAAAGGGGAAATAAGTAATGTTAAGGGAAAATAAAGAAGTTAAAAGTTACTTTTATAACTTAGCTATTAAAAGGCAAATTAATTCCTTTCTTTATATTTATTTATATAATAAAATATAAATAAATATATTATTAATAAGAATAAATATTAATTTAGTTCTTTTAGTTATAACTATTAAATTTAAAAGTTGTTATTAAGGTTATTTAAAACGTAATAAATGCACATATATTAAGGGTAGGGGAGTTTGCCATAATCTCTTATTATAATAACTACCTTTTTATATATTAAGTATTATTATTATTATAAATTGTGCTATATAGATTTGTGATGTTAATAATGCTAATTAGCATAACCAAAAGGTTATCTCTTTAAGCCTTATTAATTTATAATCGCCCTTATAACTATTAATTAATATTGGCTAAGTTACGTATTGCAATATAACGTTTAGTTAATATAATGGTTAATCATTATTAATTATAGAAGGAAGGAAAGCAAAAGGCTTAATTATGCTAGCTATTTTATATATAGCGCCAGGGCTGCTACTTGCTAAGCATCCTAACGGGCCAAAGCTGCCTAATCCCAAACAGTCCTCTATATAAACGACACCCATTATTCCTACAAAAAAATTAATAATTTTTTTCTTTTTATTTTTTTTTTATTTCTTTTATTTCTTTTATTTCTTTTATTTCTTTTATTTCTTTTATTTCTTTTATTTCTTTTATTTCTTTTATTTCTTTTTAAAGAAATATTAAATTAAATGTTAATATTTATAAGGTTATATATGAATTAAGTATAAGTTTATGAGTTAGGTGTGGGTGTCGTGCTTTAATAGCTGTGGAAATGCTCAAGAGGCATCTGTATACCATCTGTTTTCTTGTTTTTCTACTAATCATTTACATGCCATCTTTCCTCGTTCTGCTAGGCTGTAGCACACCCGGCAACGTTCCGTGGCGAGACGATTGTGCAGGAGGCCCGAGCCTCTCAGAGAGTTACACAGGTACCTGGGCTTGCTGGGCTACCTACCTACCTGGTCGCACGCACGTGGGACAAACCAGCTGAGGGGATGGTCGTTTTTCTTCAAATGTACACCTGTGAGACAAATTCCCGGTACAAGTAGACTGGCCACCCTGACACATGCACGCTAGATCCGCTAGCCGGTCATGTTAGTCAGCCCGGCGCTTGCTATTCAGAACCTGTCTAGGCAGGGAGTCTAACGCTTGGCGGGCCGCGAGGACACCGTGGACCAGCATTTCGAAACTCCATCCTCCATCCCTTTGAAACGAGTCCGCCCCGGGCCACCGCATCTAGGTAGAGGACCCCTAACGGAACGCCTGCCGTGGCCACCTAAGCCCAACACAACTCGACTTCACTCAACTCTACTCAACCATATGCATTCATTCCCACCTAGCAGCCCTTGGTGTTGATCCCCTATTCAAGACCATCTCCCTCGCTTTTCGCCGAGTCCCCTGTTGCACTTACCCTCGGTCCCTAAATCGTGCCTTGGCTCTACCCAGGCCAGCATCCCACCCGACGTACGCCAGCAACCAACGGCGGCCTGGACTCATCTCCCGTATGCTCACTTGCTGCGACCGATAGTTGGAGCCAAGACCAAGCATCAACATCTATGTGCCACCGAACAAGGCACCGATCCCGACAATGAAGATTACCGCCGCTGTTGGCCTCGGCCTCGCCGCCGTCGCTGCAGCGAGCAGCTACCACTCCGACTCGCACGACCACTACGTCCTGCATCTCGACCCCGAGGCCAGTCCAGATCAAGTCGCCTCGAGGTTAGGCCTTGCATACGACGGCCAGTTTGGCGAGCTCAAGGACCACCATGTCTTCAAGGGGGCCAAGACTGAGCACGACGTCGTCAGCTCAGAACTGAAGGCGAGGAGGCGGCGCAAGAGGGCCCTGGACGACCACGACCCCCTTGACGGCGTCTTGTTCTCCGACAAGCAACAGTTGCGGGCTCCTTGGGAGAAGAGGATAATACCAAAGCCCTTGGGGCCTGTCTTTGAGGAGCGCGCAAGCGGTGACACAAGCGACCCGGCCTTGTTGGCCGCTCAGCAGTCCGTCGCCACCACCCTCGGAATCTCAGACCCAATATTCGCTGAGCAGTGGCATCTCATGAACATTGTCCAGGCCGGCCATGACGTCAATATCTCTGGCGTTTGGTTGCAGGGAATCACGGGCAAGAACGCCACCGTGGCCATCGTGGACGACGGTCTCGACATGCACAGCAACGACTTGAAGGACAACTTCTACGCCCAGGGCTCGTACGATTTCAACGACAAGACCGACCTGCCTGAGCCCCGCCTGTCGGACGACAAGCATGGGACTCGTTGTGGCGGAGAAGTATCGGCAGTCAAAAATGATGTCTGCGGTGTCGGTGCCGCGTATGATTCCCGCATCGCTGGCTTGCGTATCCTGTCCAAGATGATTACGGACGCTGATGAGGCTGTTGCGATGAACTACGACTTCGCACACAACGACATATACTCCTGCTCCTGGGGGCCTCCTGATGATGGGCGGTCCATGGATGCCCCCGGGGTTTTGATTCGGCGCGCCATGGTCAACGCCGTTCAGGAGGGTCGGAATGGTCTCGGGAACATTTACGTCTTCGCGAGTGGCAATGGAGCGGCCAGTGACGACAACTGCAACTTCGATGGGTACACAAACAGCATATACAGCATAACGGTCGGTGCTATTGACCGCAAGGGACAGCACCCCTACTACTCTGAAGCCTGCTCCGCCAACTTGGTAGTGACATACTCGAGTGGCAGCGGTGATAGCATTGTGAGTCAAGCAATGATAGATGCGAAAAACACCCGGGGGCCACCATTACTGACCACTCGCAGCACACAACGGACGTTGGCGAGAACTCTTGCACTGCGGCTCACGGTGGCACATCTGCCGCCGCACCCTTGGCCGCCGGTCTTTTTGCCCTCGTGCTCGAGATCCGCCCTGACATCTCGTGGAGAGATATGCAATATCTCGCCATGAACACTGCCGTTCCTGTCAACGAAGATGACGGGAGCTGGGAGACAACCGCCATCGGAAAAAAGTTCAGTCACACCTTCGGCTACGGCAAGATTGACGCCTACGGTCTTGTGGAGCTGGCTAAGACCTGGAAGAATGTCAAGCCGCAGTCATGGTTCTACTCTCCTTGGGTGCATGTGAAGGAAGCGATTCCACAAGGCGATCAAGGCTTGGCCGTCGACGTCGAAGTGACAGCCGACATGCTGAAGAAGGCCAATCTGGAGCGCGTTGAGCATGTCACGGTTACGATGAACATCGATCACACGCGCCGAGGTGATCTGTCCGTTGACCTGATCAGCCCCAACAAGATTGTCAGCCATCTCTCCGTGCCCCGTCGGCTGGATAACGAGGCTGCGGGTTACGAGGACTGGACTTTCATGAGTGTTGTCCACTGGTAGGCGATTTCGTCCTTGAACTGTGCGACTGTGCCCACGCTAACTTTCTTTGCAGGGGCGAATCTGGTCTCGGTAAGTGGACAGTCATTGTAAAGGATACCAAGGTGAACGAACACAACGGCACCTGGACAGACTTTCACCTAAAACTCTGGGGCGAGTCCATCGACCCCAAGCTCGCCAAGCCCCTTCCCCTGCCCACCGAGGAAGACGACGACGATCACGACGTTATTGCTACCACCACCGTTCCCCCAACGACCGTCACGCCTCCACCCGGACAGACCGCCCCGGCCGACGTCCCTACCACTACACCTTCAGACCACCCCGACCGGCCCATTAACGCCAAGCCTACCGCTACCAGTTCGGGCACAGGCGAAGAAGTGCTCTCCCCCTCTGCTTCCCCCTCAGCCTCTGCCGAGGCCTCGTCCTGGCTGCCGGGCTTCCTGCCCACCTTCGGCGTATCGCCTGCCACCCAGGCATGGATCTACGGCTCACTGGCGCTCATTCTTGCCTTCTGCTGCGGACTGGGTATCTACCTCTGGATGGCCCGCCGCAAGCGCATGCGCAACTCGCCGCGTGACGACTACGAGTTCGAGCTCCTCGATGAAGAGGAGGCCGAGGGCCTTGCGTCGGGTGAGAAGAGCGCCAGGGGCGCAAAGGGCCGCAAGACTCGCGGTGGCGAGCTGTACGATGCATTTGCCGGTGGCAGCGATGAGGAAGACGACGAATTCGGCGGGAGTGGCGCTTACAGGGATCAGGATAACAGCCGCAGCGAGGGCAGCAGTGACGGTGCTGGCCGGGAGAAGCGGGCCCTGCGGGACGATGACGAGGAGGAGCAGCATGTGTTGGGCAGCGACAGCGAGGACGATGAGGCTGACGAGAGGGAGAGGCTGCAAGGCGGTCGGCGTATGTGAGGTGCTTCCTTTGATTAATTAATCGTATGGTCCCGGGGCTCTGTAATGGTTCCAAGACTGCAGCCTTGGGTTTGGGATACAGGCGTTTGGGGGCAGGGGTGCCAGCATATGTTATCTGGTGATTTCAGAGCATCACACCAAGCAGCACGAGACATACTGTTGCCGGTTCAATTCAGCAGCTACAAAAGTTACATGCTCGTTGATTCGGTCTCGAATTCTGCCCTACAGCAGTGCAAGGAAACGATAGTCAAAGGGGAGCGATGTCATGAAGGAGAAAAAAAGTTCTTAATTCAGGGTCGAAGACTATGCCCTTCCCATTTAAACGGATTCATCAAGCTTTAACGCCCCAACTCCAGTCCCAGCTCTTCCCCCCAAAGCAATTATAAGCTGGCCATGGTGGCAACAAAGTAGCCATGCCTTCACGACGAGAAACGCTGATTCAGCCCCTGCCAGCCCTCATTCAAGATCCTGGAGAAGCCAAGGGGCAAAGACACACTCATTCCAGAACGTGACTCGACAGCAGCCATACTGATGTCAGAGTCGCTACTGTCAGAGTCGCTGTCTATATCGCCCCGGCCCTCCACTTCGACCCATCCGTCCAACCCCGAGGAAGGCCCAGGCTCGTCGCCCACGGAACAGGTGTCACGATCTAGGTCGGCAGCCCGGTGATCCTAAGCCGGGAGCCTGACCCCTTCTCTCTCCATTTCATCGACATACCTCTGCCACACGTCGGCGACGTCGCCGTAGAACTCGACGTGCGCGTCCGCCAGACGACCCAGCTGGCCCTTGAACTCGACACGCTTGATGCGCTCAAAGTCCGCGACCTCCTTGACGACCTCCTCGTCGAACATTTCGGACATCTTCCTCGCCGTCTCGGCCTCGCGCGTGAGCTCGTCGATGCGGACCTCCAGCCTACGGAGCCGCTCGCGCCGGGCCTGCTCGTGGTCCACGCCGCGGACGTCCTCGATTTTGCTACGGATGAACCCGGCCGGTCCGCTGGCGCCGGTGCCCCCGTACCCGCTCGCCAGGCTGTCGCGGTCGACGGTCGACTTGTTGAGGTACTCGGTGAGCTGCTCAAAGTCGAGCTGCTTCTGCTCGCGCGCCTTCAGGAGGTTCTTGAGTGCCGCGGAGAACGCCACCATGTCGCGCAGGCTGCCCAGGTAGTCCTGGTCCGTGTGGTCCTTGAGCTTCTTGAGCCCCGTCGCCGTGTCCTCCACGCTCGCTGCGAACGCGTGCACCGCGGCCTCGACGCCGGGCTCGAGGTTTATGAGCTTCTGGAACTGCTCGGCTAGGTCGCGCAGGTCTATCTCGAGGTCGTTCTCTCGGCGCGCGACCCGGGCGACGAGCTTCTCGACTTGACCCAGGTCGTCGTCCAGCTTGTCGCTCTTTTCCTTGACCTCGATGAAGCGACGGTCTGGCTTGTGAACCTTGGTGAAGACGTTGATGAAAGTGTCGGCAAAGTTGTCAAAGACGCCACCGCTGCCCGCCTCCGAGGAGCTCGTGATGTTGGCACGGCTGCTCCGGCTCTGCATGGTAGCATTCCAGTCGGGAGACTCCAGGAATGTGTGCAGCAGGGACGCGCGGCGGAGTATGGGGTGCTGGGAGCATCGTGAGAGGAAGCGCTGGAGAGAGTAGGCGCGACGCTGGGTGAAGTCGGTCCCGAAGCGGTCTCCACGCACGTATTCCATGCGCTGCTTATCGGGGATGGGTGGGACGGCGCATGCTGGGTAGTCCTTGCTGAGGGTCTTGTAGAGAAATCCGAAGTCGGTGAAGCGCCGGCGCACCTGGGAGGTTGGCTTCTGGAAGGAGGGGAAGGTGGACTGTGGGAGCATTGATCAGCGGGTCGTCATGCAATTGAAGGAAGGGGCCTGGACAGAGCGAGGAAAAGGGCGCCGTCTCACGTGTGTCGTAATTAGGTATGATACGTATGCATCTTTTGTGCCCACGTTCTCGGTGTGAGGGTCGGTGACGGTGCACTCGAGTATCTCGTCGCCGCCGCTATGGCTGGGATCTAGATGCTGCAGGCCGGTGCGGTCCTCGCCGTCGCCCGGTTGTGACTTGCTGCCGGCGCCTTCTTCATCATGCCCCTCGTGTTCTGCCGAGGTCGAGCTGCCCACGCGGATGTTCTGGTCGCTGTGCCATGAGATGTTGGAAAAGTTGTCCTGGTCGATTACTGCCATGATGGGCAGCTGCGGATGACGTACGGCCGTCAGGCGGGTGCGACTCGGGCTTTTGCAAATCGCTTCGAGTGGTGTGAAGAACGGGATAACCCAGTGAGTCCGGGAGAGGCCGATAGCGATTCTGGGTATGCTCTGTGTCGTCGAAGCTGTTGTCTTGTCTCCTTGAAATGATCACAGGCTGTTCCGGAGCGATGGGCTGGGTTGATTGACGTACAGTCAGTGAGTGAGTGAGTAAAGCAGGAGCTACTACGCCTGGTGGGGGTTTGCAATGGAAGCTTCCCCTTGCGCTCCTGCACGCTTCTCGGCTCTGGCTTGGCTTGGCTCAAACCCCGGTCTCTCCGCTTCTGGGCACACACTTCAAGGCTGTTACTTCCTAGGACACTATCTCTTGAATCTATTTCGACCTTCTCTAGTTTCGATTTGCAGCCTCCCTCAAGCTAGCCCTATGGTTGGAGGATGCACCATACAGATTTCCAAAGGCTTTCCTATGGGTAATTACACCATAAGCAACAAGAGGTTATCCCACAGGAGGTCATCCCACGGGAGATTATCCTGTAGAAGGCTACCTTATAAGAGATACCCTACAGTTTATTCTATAGAAGGCCACAGATTATCCCAGATGAGGTTATCCTGGAGGTTGTTGTCTCATGGGAAGCTAATCTACAGGAGAGTACAGACCACCGCAATTATCTCCAGAGGATTATGGTATGATGAGTTGCTATCTAAAAGGCCGGTGGGACCAAAGTACAGAAATATCTTACTTGATCGAGGAGTTTGATATCAAAGTACAAATGAGTCTATCGATTTCCAGTGCCGAGATGTTCTTCTAGTCTTCATTTGATTCCCCCGTTGACCCCTCCCCTGAACCCCTGCGACGGCCTATTCCGGTTCTGGTCCATAGGACATGTATTCTCACACGACCGGAAGCATATACTACTAGTATTTTACGATATTCCCTGAGCGCCGTTGACGAATCAGCCTTGCTCGCCTTGGAGCCCATGAATGCATAAGGTACGAAACGCCGAGCACCAACTTATTCAACTTTCTTGCCGTCTGTACTCTTGGCAGATGCCTTGTCGGCCTGGCTGGCATCCATCTCAGCGTCGATGGCCTCGCCGACCTGCTTTTTCTCCAGTCCAGCGTCCTTGGCCTCCGCCTGCCTCTCCTGTCTCTCGTCCTTCTCGTCAATGTCATCAACGTCCCTGGGTGTCGCCAAGCCGCTCTCCTGATTCGACTCGTTCTGCTCGCTCTCATCATCGATCAGCTCCTGCTGCTCCCTGAGAACCTCCAGGCGCAGCTTATTGGTCGCCGCCCCCTCGGCAGTATGTACCTCGAGCTCAATCTCGTGGTACAGCTCCTCGGGAATGGACGATAGCACACCAATCAGTGCGTCGATCTGGTTGGCGACGGCGTTGTCCCCGGTCTGACCATACATGTAGGCGTTGCTCAGGACGAGGAGCGTGGAGGGGACGCCTTCCTTGAGGCGCAGATCGAGCCAGGTCTGCAGGTCCTCGCGCAATCGTGCGGGTGAGACGCCATGCGACTTGATACCACGGCTGGCACATGCCATCTGCAGCTCAGCGACTGTCAGGCTCTGCACTCCCTCATAGCTGATGGCACGATCGTCGCGCTTGATCTGCCGCATACGGTGTCGGATCTGGTAACGGAGCATCATGTCCGTGCCGAACGTGTTCAGGTTCATGTATCGACACATCGACACTAGTTGGGGCCGCGACAGGTTGTCCAGAGTGAGGTCATCCTTGAAGGCCTTGCAGACTTTAATGACGTCCTCGGCAGTGGGCTTCTCACCAGTGGCGCGGACTTTGCGGAAGAAGTTGGCAAACTCCTCCTTCTGCGCAGTCGCGGCGGACAAGGGGAGCCCGGTCTCTTTGATGGACTGTCGGAGGAAGTCGCTAACATCTCTCCGGAGCGCCCGCAGAGTCTGAGCCTTCTGGTCCTTGGATTTCTGGTTTTCGTATGTGCTGGGGAGGAGGTTGGGGAAGAGCTTCAGCGCGACTGGGAGTAGCAGCTCGGCAAATGGTATGATAACGAATGCTGAGAACGGGACGAGTCTTCCCAAGTCCTGAACTGTGCGCTGAAGTTGACGGTGTTCTCTTCGGGTGAGCTCATAGCCTGCAGCCATCCTGACCGCGAGCTTCGTGCTGATCCTGACTTCAGTCGCCAGGAGCTTTGTGCCATCCCAGTAGTGCTGGGCCTCCTTCTTTATTTTTTGCCCGATCGTCAGCTTCTTGTCTTTTTTCGGGTCCTTCTTGGAAGCAGCAAAAGCATCCTTCCGCTCGGCTAGTTCTGTCAAGCTGTCGCTCTTTTCAGTGCCAGCTGCCGCCTTCTTGTCCTCCGCCTTCAACTCGGCCTCCTTTGTTTGCGCCGCCGTCTTAGAGCCAGGAACCGTCTCCTTAGGCAGGGGCTTCTTAGCCTCCTCAGCATTGAAACCAGGCGGCGGGCCAGATGGCTGACTGCCTCGGTTGGTGTCGGTGGTGACTGAGCGAATGGGGATGAGCAGTGCCAAGGCGGAATTCTGTAGCTGTATGTTTCGAGCATTGCGACCGAGATGGAGGGAGCTGGCTCGCAGTGTCGACCTTGATATTGCCCGACCTGCAACATGCACTGGTGAGCCTTGGTCCATGCTAGTACCCGGTACCGGTAATATGTATCATTCGGGGGTTAAGCTTACCACCACCAGCGAAAGGGTTGACAACAACGGCTCTACGAGCCACACTTGCAGATGCGCTCATGACGGAGGCGCGGTTTAGACGAAGACAGAGAGAGCGGGTGTTGTAAGATGTAATACGAGGTCAAAACGTCGAGGAAGGAGAGTGGGAAAAGTCAGGTATGCATGTAGAACAGAAGCGGCATGTAAGATGGAAAAGGGGAGAGAATCGCAACGCTGGCTTGCAGGTCCAGCTGCAACTGGCATTGGATTGTTGAGTGACCTCACGTGGGGCGGCTTGTCAGGTACAGGGACCGCTCCTCCCAAGCGGCATTATTATGTAACTACACCAGATGGCGATATGTCATGTCGGGTGGGTTACGGGGCGCGCAGATCAACCGCCGACTCAGGAGAGAGCCTCAGGGCCACCGAGTCGGGTACCAGATCGAATGCACACTGGAACAGGACCGAGAACTCAGCGTCTCGTCTGCTTTTGCTGGCTTTGTTTCTGGTGCGAAGTTCCTGAGTGACAGTGAAACGGGCCCGCCACTTGTCACAAATTCCGGATCTGCCGACGGTCCAAGCTTCTTCGGCCACTTCCAGACCCTCGGGGCGGTAGTGCAGCTAGGACCAGCATGGAGTAGGACAACCCTGCCACCACCTTCTTTTTTTTTACTCTTCCAGAAGACGGTCGCCAGCCTGTCAGTAAATGGACGCCACCTGGTTGCGGATGGTCGTTAGTCGTTGGGCAGGCACGCCTGCACGCATTCGGTGGGACCCCCCCCCCCTCTTCCGCGTGCCAGTAAGTCCCTCATAGCCGACTCTGTATACACACATGTACTCTCTTTTGGAATGTTCATGCGCAATTAGTCCTTGGCCAAGTAGAGACTGTCCTTGCACCCTGTTTGCGTTATGTTTGGAGGATGCACGTTTCCAAGGCCCTTACTGTAATTCTCTCAGCACCACTGTAATTCAAGATACACCCAGAGCTTTGGGAGGACTTCACACATGGCTCGTCGCGTTATATTAACCTTCTTAGTTTTATATGCCCCAAGAGCAGATAACAATGTTCGATCATGTTTCGGATAATCGAAAACTGTGCTCGCCTGACGCAACTCGACTGATCTGCAGGGACGCTTTCCGTATAATGCACAGCCCAGTCAGCCAGTGTCTGTCAACGCAACCGGGCAGTTGGATGACCTTTGTGAGCAACCACATCAAATAGAAGCAGAGAAACATGCCACAAGACCATCATTTTTGTTTTCTGCTTCAACGGCAACTACAGCCATGGCACCTGCGTCTTTCCAGGTGATTTCAGACCTCCACCTGGAGGGGAGCCCATCGTACGACTTCGACATCAAGCAGACAGCAGCTAACATCGACCTGCTCGGTGACATTGGCCAAGTCGCTGATGTTGGACTGTTCATATTCCTCGGGAGGCTAGTCGGCAAGTAGTGGAATGTTTCCTTTCTTCTTGGTAATCACGAGCCCGTTGGGACCAGCTGGGAAACTGCAAAGACCAGAGTTCATGCTTTCGCGAAGAAGATGGAAGATCTAAGAGGGAGGTTCACCATGGGCAGATTTGTCTTCCTGGACAGGACGCGGTTCGATGTCACCAGAACTCTCACAATTCTGGGCTGCACGCTGTTCTCTGATATCGTCCCACAACAAACTACGGAAGTGGACAGACGACTGATTGACTTCAACCACGTTCACGGATGGGCTGTGGGTGACCACGTCGCAGCACACAGACGAGATTTGGAATGGCTCAACCAGCAGGTGCGCGAAATTGAGCAAAAAGAACCCCTGAGAAGTATCGCCATCTTCACGCATCACAGTCCGACGACGGACAGCAGGACCATGGATCCACGACACGCCGGTAGTCCAGTCTCGTCGGGTTTCTGTTCGGGCCTGGCCAACGAGGCCTGTTGGAAGAGCCAGAGTGCGGTCTTTTGGGGCTTTGGGCACACACACTTCAACTGCAATTATTTGCAAGATGGAAAGCGCATCGCAGCAAATCAGAGAGGCTGTTATAAGCAGGCCCTACAGGAAGAGTTCAATCCGGGTAGGGTATTTATTATCGGGAAGGCTGGCAGTTCGGGAATGCTCGACGTGTAGTTTCAAATCACATGTGGCACGGCTGATCACCGAAGGCTGGGAAAGAGGGCATCAGTAAAGCAGTAGACGAAGAGGCCTCGTGCCGCAGACACCGAGTCGGCATACCAAAACTATTGGCTTCTGGGATGGCATCCTCAGACGCTGGGCCATTCATGCGAGCCGAGGTGGGCGAGAATGTCCCTTGCACCCGGCAGTCCGAGACCTGTCTAAACTCCGCACCGTCGGGGGCACCAGGTCCCAGGGCATCAGGCCATCAACCGCTAACTCCAAGCCAAGGGCTTCAGCCGCAGGCCGGATCAATGGAGCAATGTCAACGGTCCCAGGTTCATTTCCAGTCGAGCCGGACGTCTTAGAGATGAGCCCCGGCGAATGCTTATCGCAGGGTTGACAGCGACATAGCAACAGGCACGAAGACATAGCACCAGAAACCGGAAAATGGAGAAGCGTTGCTTGGGACCAGCTGGCAGCCAGCTGGGACTCAGTGGCTTCTCAACAAATTGGCGTGGGCTTGGGCTTTTGCTGAGATGGGAGGCATGGGGTTGGTAGGATTTGCTGGAGAAGCCAAATTAGGAGCTCGTCTAACATTATTCGACCTTATCTACTAGTGTCCCAGATAGAGTGATACAAGCGATAATCACCGAAGATTCGCAGTCCGAACTCAAACGACGCCACGGCCCTTGGCCTATCGAGCTTTCCCCGCGACTTTATTCACTTGATCCATGGACACTGGTCGGTTGTCCGTCGTCTTTTGGTGACGCAGATCCCCCCCCCCGGCGAGTTTGGTATTCATCAGCAGCTGATTGATAATTCTCAACGGCCCTTCTCCTTTCCCGTTTCCTCCCTTCCCTCTCTTCTCCAGCAGTCCTCCTACATTGTGTCGCCTGCAATCCTGTCGCCATGGATATTTCTTGAGGCGTTCCGCTCTGTCCTGTGGTTGCCTCGCCTGGTCCCCTTGGGATCGCCTGCCCTTGCCCCCGCATCGTAACGGGTTTCGGGAAACGCGCATCCTGAAGTCGACCTACTATCGCAACCTATCGCATCCCCTCAGGTGTCGCACAGCAACAAGGCCCCTCAGCCTTCCTGGGGCTGGCCTAGTCTGATAGAAGGCAAGCACTACAACGCCGCACATACGCACTCACTCACCCAACCCATACATCGCCCTCTCTCTCTCTCTCTCTCTAAACACTCATATCATAACATGAGATTAAGGCGAGCGGCTCGTGTCATTCTGGTCGGCGCACCCGGCGTTGGAAAGGGCACCCAGTCCGAGAGGCTACTACATCGCTTCCCGCAGCTACACTGTATCAGCTCCGGTGATCTCCTGCGGAACAACGTGAAGAACAGGACCGCGCTCGGTCAGTATTTTCCAATGCCGATATCGGTACTCCCCCTTCCGATCATGCCCACAACTTTCTGACGCGACTCATTCACAGGCATACAAGTAGAGAGCACGCTCAAGGCCGGTGGCCTCGTCTCTGACAGCCTCATCCTGCGCCTGATCAACAACGAGTTGAGCAAGCGAGGATGGCTCGGTCAACCCCAGGTCATGACGCTCAACTCCTCGGCGGTGGGGGCCGAAGGTGAGACGTACGGCAACGAAAGCGAGATGGCCGCCTTCTTGTCCGCAGCGCCCAAGACCTTCGCCGCCCGCCCCTCTGAAGACCCATCGGCTTCGTTCCTGCTGGACGGCTTTCCACGGACCGCCTCCCAGGCCGACCAGCTCGACGCCATGGTCCCGGTCAACCTTGCAGTGTCCATCAAGACCCCATTCGACGTGATCCTGGAGCGCATCTCGGGACGGTGGGTGCACGAGCCCTCGGGGCGCGTGTACAACACGACGTTCAATGCGCCCAAGGTGCCCGGACGGGACGACATCACAGGCGAGCCACTGGTCAAGAGGGCCGATGATGACGAAGAGACGTATCGAACGCGTTTCCGCAAGTTCCAGGAGACGAGCGAGCCCCTCCTGGAGCATTATGCCCGGCAGGGAGTGTTGATGGAGATCGAAGGCATGAGCAGTGACGAGATCAGCCCGAAGCTGTTCAAGGAGTTCGAGAAACGCTTTTGCGAGTAAACCTATGTGTGTATGAGTTGACTGTGTAAGGCTTGGGCCGCAGGAAAAACCAGTTCGGTCTGGGAAACGGCTGGCTGATATCCGGGAGGTTTTGGCTCGAATCGTACGGCGTTTATTGAGCAGCAGCAGCAGCACTATACGACTGCTTGGTACCTGTTCCTGGGGCAACTATTTTGTATTCTCCCTCTTTTACTGGCACGCAACGAAACTTGAGCATGGGTCTAAACTGCGACATGTCGCGTTAGGAATTGCGGTCCAGACACAAACTTGTGTTGTTCTGATTTGTTTTGTTAGTTGGGACGTCGCAGACGTTCAGATACCCATCAGGGCCGTCACCTCAAATCCAACAGGCTTCATCATTACTCTCGAGGTCCGAAGGTGAATGCCGCGTGCCTGGAGGCTTACCGCCGCCACCATGCAGCCTGCCGTATCTAGGTGTGCGCTCGAGTAATACAAACATGGGCGTGTGTGATCTCTTTCAGGTGCCTTGCATGACATCTCCGAACGGTGTTATGTGTTGCTATAGAGCAATCCACAAATCCAGAGTGAGTGTACTCGGTTCTTTCAGGCAGCTGCTGGCAGGCATGTGACGACAGAGCAACCACACTGCACGTCTACCGAACTTCTTGAGGACCCAGGCATAGTACTTGGGTAGTAGGGGCCAAAGGAAGATTTTACCACAGAACTTCCAATGTTTTCTTGTGGCCCTTAGACCAAACTCCAAAACGACTTACTCTGTCAAGCGCGTACGATGAACCATTTGATCCGTGATCGTGATATCAAGAGGGGTCAGCCTTCGAAAGGCATCGAGGTTCACAGAATTTGTGGCAATGCAACTCCTTCCTCAGCTTCCCGTCTACGCAGCGTCACGAGACCGATTCGTACACACGAGGACCGGCCGAGCTATTATGCACTGCAACCAGCGACCTCGGGCTGCGAGGGCCGTCGCGAATCATGAGACTGCGAGATCCTCGGGAATGCACGGAGCCCTGTAGAAGGAGGACATGGACATTTGGAATACATTCCCAAAGAGGTGGGTAGCAGCCTTGCCTGTGGTCTTTATCTGCCCAAAGCGACGTTGCGAACGACGCGAGACACAGCACCATTCGAAGGGTTGCATCCAGCCTGCTAACAAGGCACGCCTACCCTAGGTAGCCAGCGTAGGTATCCAGACGGCCGGGTCCCGCCTATCCACCTGGGCTGCAGGGCCTGTCGTCATCCACTAGGCAGAGCGGCAGGGGGGCAGGACGGGCTCCTTCCGCAACTGGGCTTGAACCGTGGGCGGAAGGTGCAGAGTGCAGCTGCAGGTGCGCTGATCACACGGGCGAGCCTCAGGAGCCTTCCTGGTGTTTCCAAGGTTTCGAGGGCTCCAGGGCCTGTCCTTCCCCTCCTCCGCACCAGCACGTCTGCACGCCTGCCAAGGACGCTGCCGTGCAAGCATGACCTCCTCATCGTTCCTTGGGACTTCATCATCACTTCCACCTGCTGTTCTGTTGTGTTTGATGCGTTGTTTTCTTGTGATTTCCCGCAGGCCACGGTAGCATCTTGACGGTACTTGGATTACATTGTCTATTTATCCATTCATTGTCACGTTCGTCTGATCGGACGAGGACACCACGTCACCTGCCTGGCGTCCGCTCTCATCCTGCAACCCGAGCTACTACGGCTTCATATCTTTACAAAACATGGCACTCCGCTCGCGTTGAGACTTACAGGTCAAATCTCCCTGGAAAGCCTATACATGGCCTGAGTGGTTCGTGTTTCAATCTCGTCTGTCCTAGGCTGGGCGTCGTCCTCGGTTGGGTTGCACATTGTCTCGAATCGACCTGGAGCTCGATGAGCCGAAGCCGCCAAAGTGGTCCTGTGGTCATTATTATCCAAGACTCCGGAGTTTTCAAACAACAGAACGCGCATCAACGATACCGTCATGACGATACTATGGATTGTCCTGGAAGGCGCCCTAATCGGCGCCTTGGGTGTCAAGGCCACCTCAGAAAGTTCCACTCCTTACCAAGCTGCGCTGGACATTGAACACGACGGTTTCGAGAGTCATGCATCACTCAGTGCTGCACATCTGGACATCCTCGACCCCATGTTGGAAGTTCTGAGCACGATGCAGGAAGAGTACTTTGCCCCATGGTTAGGAACGTGGCCAGAAGCAATCGACTGGACCGCCGCCGTGATGGGCACGCACGTCTCCGGCGCTCTCAGCTCTATATCCCGCGCCCTCGACCTTCTCCCAGTCTCAGGACAGGCTGGCGACCGAAACAAAGAAAACCTCGTCACCCTCTTTTTCTCGCAGATTCTGGGCTACTATTTCGGGCAGGATCACTTCGCCATTAGGAACGAGGCGTACGATGACATCCTTTGGGTCGTCCTCGGCTGGCTCGAAACGATCCAATTCATCGACCTGCACACAACGCTCAACTTCCAGGACGTCGTCGATGCTCCAGGCTTTGCAAAGTGGCACGGTAATATATGGACACCCGCATTCTCCCATCGAGCACGGATATTCTGGAATCTCGCCAAGGCTGGCTGGGACTGGGATCTCTGCGGCGGAGGTATGACTTGGAACCCCAGGCTGGAACCGTACAAGAACGCCATAACCAACGAGCTATTCATATCGGCATCGGCTTCCATGTATCTGTATTTCCCTGGAGATTGGAATGACTCGCCCTTTTTCAACGGGTTGGACACCTCCAGCGACGAGCATTTCACTAGGCCCCGCGGGGATGATGTCTTCAGGCCTCACGATCCTATCTTCCTCCAATTCGCACAAGACGGGTATCGATGGCTCGATGAGTCCGGCATGATGAATGACCAAGGTTTGTATGTCGATGGGTTCCATATCTCCGAATGGAACGATCCCACGAGTGACAACAAGAAGTGTGATGTGCGCAATGAGCAAGTCTACACTTACAACCAGGGTGTCATCCTCACCGGTCAGATCAACCTTTGGAAGATCACAGGCAACTATTCATACGTCAATGACGGCCATCGCCTCGTTCGGGATGTCATTAGGGCATCGGGATGGGATCTACGACGCCAGAGACCGATCGATCATGGTCGAAATTACAGAAGCTACGCCGATGGCGAGCCACCGGAAGGTAGCAAGCTTCCGCCGTGGCATGGCCTCGGCCGTGCCGGTGTAATGGAAGACGCCTGCGACAGCAAAGGAACTTGTTCCCAAGATGGCCAAACTTTTAAAGGCATCTTTTTCCATCATCTCACGGCATTTTGCACATCGTCGTTATCCCTGGACGAATTTCTCGCCTGTAACAGACAGACGCGTGATCAGATGCGCTCTCATTTAGAAGAGTGCAGGTCGTATGCTCCTTGGTTGCGGCACAATGTTCGTGCCATGATAAGGACAAGGAACGATGCAGGGTTAGTGGGTATGTGGTGGACTGCAGGACATCTTGGTCTCAAGGACAAGATGCCGCCTGGGGACGATGTTGAAGATCCCAATGCGGTGGATTACAGAAATGATGGTGTGCCTGAGGATCCGGTATGGAAACGAACCCCGGCAGGCGTAAATCCTCCGCAAGCCCCTCACATCCCATTCCCCGAGTCTTATACAGCCGACGAGCATGTCGCGTTACATGCTCGTCAGCAAACACCAAGACGATTGCGGGAAGACAATGAAGATGTTGCAGGCTATGACAGGACGAATTATGGCAAGGGAACACATACGTCTATGATCAAGGAAGATCTCAACGACCGCGGCCGCGGCCGGACCATCGAAACCCAGGGTAGTGGATTGGCGTTATTGAGGGCCTTCTGGGAGATTTCAACACGGACTCGATCTAGGAAAGGGCAAGTGAATCCGGGGGAAGGAGTCGATCCCGATGAGTTGTAAGAAGCTACGATGAGACTGAATCGAATTACTTCAAACCCTGCCAGCCCTGTGCTGCCCCGGGCCGACAGCGTACTTCAGTGGAGTAGGTTCTCCACGATGTCTCAGCCGATGATAAGAGCTGCGGAGCAGAGGATCATCTCGACATGGTGGTGACATTCAACACTGTCTGTTAATAGGCGTGCAAGATGAGAACATGCGGTGCCCGCGAGCCACATTTGGCTTCTTCTCAAACCTTGCTCTCTACGTCGCACCAGCACCACTCGACCTATTAGTCTCAGACCAAAAACAATTCGAATTTCAATGCAGGACCTGAACTCCTAGCTAGCCGGTGCTATACAAGTCCACATGATCCAGAAAGGCAACCTCATGTCCCGCAGTGATCATTGCACCACCAAGTACATGGTCCCATCCAGCCGTGAGGCGCCGATTCAAGAGGAGATACGCCAGACATTTTGGCCTCGGCGCCATGTTTCCATCCATCAGTCCGTGGTTCAAGCCAGTCAAAAGGCTCTCTAGCCTAGTCGCGCCACTCGTCACCGCCCCTCACATCGGCGGGCACTCTCGAACTACCAGAGCTACCTCCGCCCTCCTCGTCCTCGTCATCCAGGGCCAGGGCAAGCTCGTCGGGATCCTTCATCTTGGCGTCAGGGTCTACCGACTCGCCATCCGCGCCCAAGATGCCGTGCTCCTCCTCGCTGAACCGGTCTCCGTCCGCGCCAAGGACCCCGTCGTCCGCGCTGACCGAGATCCCCCTGCGGCCCCATGCAGACCGCTTCGGGCCACGGCCGTTGCCGAGCGCGGGCGCACTTTCCTCGTCATCATCGTCGCTGCCGCGCCCACCCGAGTTGTCGACATGCTTGCCAAAGATGCGCCGCAGCAGCCAGCTCCGGCGCATGTCGTCGGCGTCGACGACGCCGCCGCTGCGGAGCTTGACGCGCTGACGGGTGTAGTATACCCAGGCGAAGTCGACGTACAGGGCGGTCTGGACCAGGCCGAAGATGATCTGCACGGGCTTGGGCTTGATGTCCTGCATGTCGAGCTCGCGCGCCAGCCAGTTAAGGACGTAGAGCCCGCGGTACAGGCCCAGGGCGAGCAGGTAGTAGCTGTCGATGACGGTGGGCACGGTGGTCTGGCGGAGGAGGAGAAGCTGCGGGAGGACGCAGACGGACTCGAGGATGTAGGAGAGGTTCCAGAGCCACTGCGGCAGGAGGTGGTGAATGTGTTAGCATAGTCCGATCGGCGAGGGAGAAGGGGGCCTCCCGGTGACTCACGTAGAACATGCTCCACTCATCCTTGCCCTGGAAGATCAACATGGTGAAGGGCGACAGGAGGAGGGCGCCGAAGAAGCACGCCGCCCCCAGCTTCCAGGCCAGCTCCTTCTCGCGAGTCCGGGGGAAGACCCACTGCATCAGGCCGATGATGTAGAACGAGGAGAGGATGTAGAAGATCTTGAATATTATGTTGTACACATATTGGCCGCGGCCGAACAGATCGGTGTAGCGGGCGAGGAAGACGACGCAGTAGAGCACCTGGGTGATGAAAGACACGCCTGTTTATAGTCGCTGGTCAGCCCCTCTGTTCCGCCGAGGCGTTCGCCTGCCGCACACAAGGGAAAGAAAGCTATCAAGGGGTTGCCCATACCTTCGGCACTTCGGTTGCGGTGTATCGAGGTCATGAGAATGAACTTGGACGCCAGGTGGCAGAAGTCCCCCACGATGCGGAAGAGCTGTGCGCGCAACGTTTAGCCTGGGGTGCCCTATTGCCAACCTCGTTGTGCCCGTGGGTGCCTCTTACATTCCAGGCCGTCATTTTGGCTGAATCTCCCTCTCAGTGCAGACAAATCAAAATGTAGACTCCCGGTGGGAGGTGGGAGGTGCTCGAAATGTGGCTCTGCCTTCAAGCTAGACTGGGCTGTCGCGAAGTGGTAGCAGTGCCTCTGTCTACAAGTCGGCTCGAGGTGCACAATTCAGGGAGTGCTGTTCTGTCCAACAGAAGACTTCTGACAAGCTGCGAGCTTTGCGCTCTCTGCCGAGCAGAGGATATGGGGCCCTTCGAGGACTCAAGGGCCGAGGGTCGGAAAGCTTTGGGGCTTGCTTGCGTATGTTCGGCCAGGCTCCCAGATAGTTTGGCCGAGCCGTAAGTATGTAGACTATGAGTGTGCTCCTGCCAGGCAATCAGGAGGGTCGGCAACCTACGTGGAGCTCCTGGATAGCGTCTCAGCTGTGGGCCAGAGGACGTCACCCACGCGCCTGATCCTTGCTAGCCGGGCGGGCCACGGCTACCTACTCTACCTAGGTACTTTAGTCAAGAGCGGGCCTCTGCCACAGTGTGCAGTCTATTGTGGCTTCATGCCTGCCGCGCAGCACAACGGTTGTCAGATGAGCCTCTTCAACTCATGACTTCAAGTCAGTTACTACTGTAACTACTAGGTAGGTCTGTAGTCTCATGACCAGAAACTGATTCTGAACACAAGAATTGTCAAGGCAACTGAAAAAGCGACCAGCTCAATTCATCGCATTGCAAGTATCCAACGCCCAGCTAACGCCAAGCTGTCCGTGATGGGTATCAAGATGCTCTCGGGTGTTAACAAAGTCAACCCGGGAGTATACAGCAAACTCCAGATCCTATCCCTACAATAAATGCAAACCACCAGAAAATAATTCTTCTCATCTTCCAGGGTTCCTTCGCCTTGCTTTGTTTCGCCAGGAAAAGTATACCCTCGATGATTTATGCAACAAGCCCCCTACGCCTAAGCCGTCGTTCGAGCACAATATGACGGTCAACTCCAACCGCAGTAATCCAGCACTAGCTCGCTCAGATGGGATACTATCTGGGTCTGACGCGTCGACTCCGCCATCGTCATAGTTCGCCCTCGATCATGTTTGGTAGCCACTCCATTTTTTCATCGCTGAACTTATGGCTGCGAGCTGTCAGTATCGCGCAGAGTGGGACGAACTGGGCTGACTTACCCCTCAAACACCGTGTTCACGAGAGAACGAGTGCCATACTCGGACTCGAGCATCTCCTTGTACATGAACGGGATCTTGGCAGGGGATCCCTCGAATGTTGTGGTGCGCAGAGGGAAGAGAAAGGTATCCTGAAGACCTGTTAGCCTGCGTTCGGTGATATGTCGCAAAGGGGCCATTCCCACCCTGAATTCATGGCCATCTTTGCATGAGAGGATACCGTCGCCTTCAGGATGCGTCAGGTTGTACCTGACAGTAGTAATGTCGATGAAAAGGCCACTTGTCGTATCGATCCACCGTGCGTCGATTACATTGAGCTTGTCCGTCTGCTCTCGGTTGACGTAGTTCGGATTTACCTCCAGCATGTAGTCTCGACCCTCGGGAATGCGCGGCGTCCTGTAATGGAAGACACTCATGTTATAGTAAAATCCTAAATAATGTATCGCAGCCTCGGACACCTGGACATCGGCGTCTGTGTCCCAGGGCAGGATCTTCTTGCCCCACCACCAACCAAGCAGCGAGCCGTGCATCAGCCACGTCTCGACACCGAGGTCCGAGAAGGTGGCCAGGTATGTCTGCAGGAGGTTCTTCAGGGCAGCCTTCTGCTCATGATAGGGGAGGGCCTTTTCGGCAAAGCGGCCGTCGTAGTGAGGATGAAAGAGAGACTCGTGAAAGTATTTCTCGGGCGGGTCGTAGTCTCTTGCGCTCATGTCTCTGTGTAGCCTAGTCCGTACCTGCGCAAAGTTCGCGTCCCCGCGAACCGAAGGGACGGCGCATATCCCCAAGGTGAGGGTAGACAGTGACAGGAGCCTGGTGAGCTGCATCGTCGGAGGCAAATGCCAGTATGCTCCTTGGCCAAGGATTCAGCGGCGAACAAGAAGCCCGGGCATGTATGGATGAAAGAGACAATGGATGGGCGATGTGTCCACGTAGGGCGCGGTCGCTGAAGTCAGGCGAGCGTCTCGGGGAGTCTCTGTGCTGACGACAGCTGGTACCGTCGTACGGTCTGTTGTGTTGTGGGAGACGTCTCACGGAAGGGCGAGACAGGGAAGATTGTCGAATGTGTCGACGGTGCCCCTCCGAGAGACCAGAATAAACGACCACGAGATTGGTGTCTAGGGATCGTTACGAGCCTCGGTGCAACATGAACAACTCTTCATGACAAAGACCCTTCTGGCCTTATGCGGACGTTTAGTGTAGTTGGAGCAGTGCAGGGAAGGAAAGAGGGCACGCGACCCTCGGCAGGCGGTTCTAGAGATAAATACACACCACGACGCCAGGGGACGAGGGAGGGATGTTCGGAATTATGGCAGCAGTGCGCATATGTCCCTCCACCTTCTGGACGCAGATCAGGAGCACGCGACACATGAGCCAACCCTGACGCAGCTCCCGGCGCCCCGGGCTGGGTTGGACGTTATTACGAGGCTAGACGTTGAAGACCGTTGAAAGACAGGGGAAGTCTTGAAATGCCAGCCATGACGACGCACGGTCGGGAGCCTCCCACTTGCCGCATGGATCATTGATCCTGTCTGCCCCTCGTTAGCTGCGGGGAGGTAAGGATTCGCAGTGGCATCGGACGCATGGGAGACTGAGGGGGGTGGTAATGGCCTGTTTCGAGCGCCAAGGCCGCGTCAGCTCGGCTGGAAGATTGTCGACACTGGCCGGAGGCACTTGCTCCTTGGTAGGTCAGAGGCACAAACATCCCATCTTACAGCCCTGACAGGAAGCAAGATTCAGGACCAAGACACAGTTCAAGACCGTGTCGTCTGTGCGAGGGCAGCCGGTGGCACGCAAGCTTCCTGTCCTGCTGTGCTGTGCTGCGCTGTGCCGCCTAGGCGCGCTACCCTGAAGTTTACAGTACCGACCTAGGTACCTAGGTAGTTACCTACATAGAAAGGCAGGAAGGACCTCGGGGAGGCTGGCCTTGAGGTGGTGATCCCATCCAGTATCATGCTGCTCTTGTTATCCCATACGAGCTAGGAGGCTATCCCATAGATAATTCTCTCATAGTAGATAGGAGGTTACCCCACAGGAAGTTGTCCCATAGGAGGTTATCCCACAGGAGACAGGAGGTTATCCCCAGAGAGGCTATCCTAGAGGAAGATACCCTACAGGAGATTAGTCTCCTGCGCCGGACAGTTCCGGCCAAACAGTTTTGCAGCAAGTGCTCATGGAAATGCAGGCACAGCACGGTGGCTCGCTGCTTGTGTGTCAAAATAGCAACTGCCATCAAAAGCTTGCCCCTGCGTGACCCTGAAGTATGTAGCTTTCGCAGTCGGCCAAGGGAGAGACCTACAAAATCCAAATACCTCTGCCGACTTTCCACAGTCGAGGGAGATTAAGTCTCGTGCAGCTGCAGAAGCAAAGATACGGTTGACAAGAAGTAGAAACAGGCTTGATACACCCAGTGGTCATGGTCGCAAAGAGGCTGCCCACCAAGACAGATGTCCAGGGTCCAGGGGTGGGACGTTCCAGGGTTAAACCCTAAGACGTCACTACCAACCTTGAATACACTTTGCAACGCGGTCGGCGCGTCACTCCAGCTTTCCCAATGCGGGCGGAACCACATGCCCAAGCACACTTCGAGTACGCACAAGTTGCCCGAGGCCAAGCTGCGTGATCCACGCGTCGTCCACCAGGCACTCTCGCGGGCCACATGGCGAGACCACTGATTCTTGACCACCGTCTCTTGTCATGAGGTTTGGCGCAGCATGGATCTAAGTGAGTCTGTTCTGCAGGCACCCTGTTGATGCGCACATCTGATCAGGGAATTCAGCACGAGAGGAACGCATGCGATCGCGCATGCGCGGTGCTGCGTAAGTGATTCCCGACTCTGGATCCCATCCCACAGCCAGATACTGACTGGCTACAATTCAGACGTCATCAGGTCCAGAACGCAGACTTCGGAGACCTGTTTACGATTCCTATCGTCGCATCTAATACCGAACCACAGCCAGAGCGCGAACCTGAACCTGGAGCCTCAGAATCGGCAGCTCCACCGTCAGGGCCGGCAGCTCCCTCACCAGTCCCGGCGACAAGCCAGCACGTGAGCCCAAATACGTCAGCAAAGAGGAGGCGGCTGGATGATCGAGGCACTGCTGCCCCGGTCCCACAGTCGCGTTCGCCAGTCCAGCCTCAAAGGCAGTCAAGCTCCGCAACCCGGCGATCACAACGACTCTCTCAATCACCCACCAGCAATGATCCTTATGACCCTGCGAATGCTCCTGCCCCGGCGGACGAGCCTGAATCCCTCCCGAAATCTACACCCCCAAGTCGTGCTTCGGCCAGCCGCGCATCGGGCAGCAGATTTGCAGCTCCACTGTCAGCAGCGCGCAGTATTCCAGCACAATCCTCGCCCCTCTCGATAGTTCAGCATGCTGAGGAGGTGGGCGAAAGTCCGGCTGACCAGCCCGGCAGCGGCCAGCGGAGGCGAGTACGGCCGATCCAAGCCGTGACATCCAGTGCGCTGTTGCAGTCAGCTCTACGGGCCGACAACTACGATACCCTTGAAGGCATGATGCCATCCTCATCACCCCTGACGCGAAAGTCGAGGAAGAGTGTCGCAGCGACGACGGTCTCGGCACCATCAACCCGGACGAGCCTACGGAGGAGTTCGCGGTTGTCCGGCAGTAGCGATGATGGGATTAATGAGCTCTCATCGGACGTACTAGAACCCGTTGAGGAAGTCAGCCCCCCGAAGGCGCGGACCAGTCAACTGCGATCGGAAGCCGAAGCTGAATCTGCAGAAGTCCAGGAGAGCGTTATCGATCAGACCGCAGCAGATGACGATCTGGAAGCTGAAGAAGCACAGGAAGTCGATGGCACAGAAGCTGCGCGTCACATTGGGAGGAAGCGCCAACGAAGGAGCAAGGCAGTTAGGTCGCCTGAACTGGTGTATGAGGAGGTCACAGAAGAACCAAGTTCAAAACGCCTTCGCACAGGTCCGCCTCAGAAATCAAAGAAGTCTCCGGCAAGGCAAAGACAGCCGAGAGCGCCGCGAGCGAAATCGAACAAACAGAAATCAGCACGGGGGAAGAGCGGAGATGCCACAGGGCAGCCTATCTCGGTGAAGATCCAGCGCTTTACGAAACCAAGGCGTCTTGACGAAGACGATCCGGAAGCGGATGATATTCTTAATACTGAGATACCATTCGCCGACCGGGCCGGCGTCAACGCTGTGGATGTCCTGGCCCAGATGTGCGAGGAACTCATCAGTACGAGTCTGCATAAGTTGCAGGACACCTTCGATAATGCACAGGACGCTGCTACAAAGAAGGAAATCCGGGTAAAACTCAGGGCCTTGGAGGCTTTCCAAGAGGAGCTGAGAACCCGTTTCTTAGAACACACCATCGCCCTCGATGCGCTATACGCGCTGAAGAAGCGCGTCCGCGAAGCACAAAAGAACAAGCTGCAGTTGCGGGAGAGAATTATTCAAATAAGGGCTGAGAGGGAGCAGGTCGCCCTCCGAATGGATGCCGTCAGGATGAAACACGAAGAGGACGGCAAGGAGGCTTTGGTATATCTCACCCTCGCTTTTCATCCTTGACTCTGCTCATAGCGTTATCTCACTAACATGTTGGGCAGCACAACATCAAATTATCAGCGGCAATGCACGACGTTGATCTTGCGATGGAGCAGGGAAGGGCCGCCCCCGAGCTTTCAGCCAAAGACCAGAAAACGGCAGACCTTGCGAACCTGGAGTTGCTCATCGACAGAGTCAGGGAACAGGCATGTAGCGATTGCCCTGGGGGAGGCAATTTGAGGCATATCAAGAGCTTCAATGCGTTCTTGGAGCGTGCTGCTGCCGCGTTGTAAAATAGTCATGATTACAAAGGGTGGTTGCTGATGAGCATTGTCCTAGTCTGTTGTGGGCCGTTGAAGTAATTGGGAAAGACAACCAATTAGTGCTGCATTAGTCCATTGCCCTCGTCCTCACCGATTGGAATTGAGCCGTAGAGCATTACTAATGCATAGCTGCATCTATCCAATGCGTTCAAGGCCGTGGCTTGTTGACAGTAGCGCTGACAATGCACAACGGGTGTCCCAGAACAGTCTTTGAAAGGCACACTAAAGAATCCATGGTCATCATCTAAATGGAGCCTGATCTCGGTTCCGCAATTACCAGGTCAGTATAGTCCAATACATGTGAAATTGTTCTGGTTCTCTGGGTATTCAGAGTGCTTTGGTTGCGTACAAAGAATAGCCACCTCGCGATAAGTCATAAGCCAGGTAGGTGGGTTTGAGCTCCCGAGAAAGCATCCGCTTCCATCCGCTTCCATCCGCTTCCAGCAAAGTATTACGAGTCTTCTTCCGCTCAAAACCTAATATACCAAACGGTCTGCTGAGATTCCTTGTGCGTCTAAAGGTCTCAATACTGGCGCTACCTGTCTTGTTCTTTTACGGGCTTCAGCATGCATGTATGTGTATCTATGCCTTCGTAGCCCAGCTGAGCCATGTCAAAGTCAAAGACCTTGAGAGTGCGCAGCCCAAACTTCTCGTACAGCGGCCTCCCTGCCAGGCTAGACTCAAGATATATCTCAACACCACGTTCATCGGCTTTATCTATACCCCATCGCAGCAGCAGGCTAGCTGCCCCACGGGGCCGATAGTCAGGCGAAGTCACAATCATTCCAAGGACTGTGTGCCTCTCAGCTCAATCCGGACCTGTAAATTGACATCTCAAAGCACTCACGGTAGTGCGGCCGCCCTTGCATCACCTCGTAACGGTACTTTTGCAGAGGGCTGTACCGCTGTGGTAGAGGCCACTCGAAGGCGGCAGGCCCATTCGCAACCTCCTCCTCGCTCAGGGCAGGGCAGTAATGCCACGTTGCCCGGGCCATGATCCCCTTGGTGGCAGGGTCGACGACCTTGAGGAAAATAGCGTCCTGTTCGTGGAGGAATGTCTTTCGCCGCCGTCCCAGCAGCTTTAAGACTGCCTCGGGGGTGCGATCGCGCTCCAAGAGGATCCTCTGCATGTCGTCTTGCGGATTCCCCCATATTTCGATGCGTACGGCTTCCTCGAGGTCCACCTCCTCCATAGGAAATAGTTGAGGGATTTCCGACGACAGGATGTCTCAGTCCAGCAGCTAGTCCGCGTCGGCCTTTTCACTCACGTCATGAGGCGCTCAAATAGCCATGCAGAAAGGACCGAAGTGTGGCCTGCAGCTCCCGGCCGGGCCCGGTTGAAGACGACGTGAGCCGGCCCGGAGATCGGAGTGCATTACTGCTTGCATCAGACCCACACACTCTGGGGAAGCTCAGCCACGGCGATGATCAATCTGTTTTAGTTGCCTCTTCTACTGCTCACAATCTCGTGTGAACCCAGAACGACTGTCAGTTGTTCTTCATCTATTGTAGTTTGTGAATTATTACTTTATTTCATTCATTCATTTTTTTTTGGGGGGGGAGGGGGTACAGGGAGCGATAGGTCGCGTTTCTTCTGCGACTTTCCTTTCGAATGCGGCTGGGCAGTAGACGTGCAAACTCGCTTGAATTGCCATGTGCTGCTTTCAGTTTTGACTTCTGGCAATGAGCATTTGTGGAAGAAAGTCGCTTGTTAATGCCGTTTAAGCCTATGTGGCTGGTTAGTATGATGAGTGATGATTGTAACAAGACACACAAGGGCTTCTAGAACTAGATTAGGGAACCAAATGGGGTTGCTAATAGCTAATTTAATTAAAGTATTTTACAAAGTATATATATGTTAAAAAAAGCTAATGCTAAGCAGGCTATGGAAGGTATAGTATATTAAAAGAAAGGGGAGTGCTTAGTTATCCCTTAATATGCTTAGCCCTTAAAAAATGCATATATCCTTATGCACTTTAATATTAATAAATAATCTTATAATTACTTCTTCTTTAAAAGTCCTTAATCCTAATTAATTTACTATTTATTTCCATTATCTTACTTATTAAATTTACCAACTTAATTAATAAACTTATTAAGTTTAATAGCTTAATTGCCAGCTTAATTAATAAACTTATTAAGTTTAACAGCTTAGTTAATAAACTTATTAAGTTTAACAGCTTAATTAATAAACTTATTAAGTTTAATAGCTTAATTAATAAACTTATTAAGTTTAACAGCCCATTTAATAAACTTATTAAATTTATTAACCTATTTAAATTTAACGGCTTAATTAAATTTAACAGCTTAATTAAACTTATTAACTTAATTAATAAAAACTAAATTTAAATTTATAATAAATATATTTATAATAACTATAATTAAAGCAAAAGCATTAATAACTATAACTTAAAGGTTTTAATTAACAACTTTATTATTATTTACAATATAAATATTAATTTATATACCCTTTTTTTCCTTTTTTAAGCTTTAATAAACCTTTTTAAGCTTAATAATCTTCTTACTTATTAAGAATTATTTAAAGTTATTTAAGTCTTTAATTTAATCCTTATCTTTTTCTTTATCTTTATTATTAAACTACTTAAATTTATTAAGCTTTATATCTTTTATTAATATAATAAAAAACTATATATTAAATATTTTTAAGGCATTATTTTAAAGTAATTTATTTAATTAAGCCTTTAAGTTTAAATAAAATTTCTTTGCTAATTTTTTAACTTTATTATAATTAATGTTAGTATTATTATTTTATAAGTTTATTTAAAAATTCTTTTTAAGCTATATAAGAAAATTTACCTTAAGGTAATATTTATTATCTTTTTATTAATTAATAATTTCCTTATTGCTATAGTTTTATTTAATATTTTATTATAAAAAGTTAATAATATTAAAGTTTATAATTAAATTAAGTAAATCCTTTTCTTAATAATTATAAATATAATAATTTTTAAATTTATAAAAAAAATAAATAAGCTTATTATAATTTTTTTAAGCAACCTTTTTAATAATATAATAAGGAATATAATATTAATAATAAACGCTACTTTAATTATAAAAATCCTTATAATATATATTATAAAATACTTAAATTATTATATATTAAGCTATAATTTTTATATTTTATTTTTTAAGCTTAATAAAAAAGTTTTTATTTAAAATATTAATTAATAAATACTTAAAGCATATTTATATAACATTAATATAATTAGCTTTAAAAAGAAATCTTATATTATTATTATAAATAAAGTAAAAAATTATAATATTTTATTTATTGCTTATTATAATTATTTAAGTATAAACTTTAATAAGGTTATAATAAACTTCCTTATTAAATAAAGCTTAAAGGTAGATTTTAATTTTATTAACTTAAGTATTATAAGGCATAATAATATAAATTTAAGGCCTTATTATTATATTAATATTTAAAATATAAAACTAATAAATGCAAGCTATTATTTTTATTAATAGCTAAGCTTATATTATATTAATAAAGTTAATACCTTTTTTAATTATTATAAATTAATATATTAAAAAGATATAATTATTAAAGAGTAATTTAAATACCTTATTATTAATAAAATTAAAATTTATTTTAAAAGCATATATATTATAAATAAGCTATTAAATAAATATATATTAAGTATAAATTAAATTAAAAAGTATATAAAAATTAAAAATAATTTATATATTTTTATTATAAAAGATATTAAATGCAAGATTTTAAAGTTTTTTATATTATTAATAGTTTTTTATAAGGAAAGTAATATAATTAAGTTTTATAATTATAACTTAATAAAAAAGAAGTATTAAAAGTTAATTAAGGTAAATATTCTTATATTTATTATTTTTATTATATTATTTATTAATAAATAATTTATTTTAATAATAATTATTAATAAGTATAAAAAGGTAATAATTAAATATAATTTATATTTAATAAATATATAATTTAAATTCTTATAATGCTTTATTAATAAAGATAATTATAAAATTTATAAATTCTTTATATATTAAGAATTAAATAATAATAAATATATAAATAATAACTTTAGCTTTATTAAAGATTTCTTTTATAAACTTATTAATATTTTTATTTAAGATTTTTATTTTATTTAAGGTTAAAATATTAGCTAAGTTATTAAGTTAATATAATAAATATATTAAGTTAAGCTTATATTTATTTTATAATTTTTAAAGTATAATGTTTTTTAATTTTTAAATATTATTATATTTATTATAAATAAACTTCTTAATATAATTTATAAAATTATATAGCTTTTTAAGTTATATACTTAAGTATAAAATATTAAAGATTTTTAAAGCTTAATATATACCCTTATTATACTTAAAGTAAAAGCTTTTCTTTAATGCCTTACTTTTTAATTATAAATTAATAATATAAATAATAAATTTATTAAATTATAAGTTAATATTAAGTATTTTATATATTAAGATTATAATATTATTATTATTTATATTTTAATTAATAATAATTATAACTTAAGAATTATAATTAAAGTTTTTAAATTTAAGCTATTTAACTTATAAAGCTATTTCCTTATAAATATTATTTATAATAATTACCTTTTTCTTAATCTTTATAGCTAGGGTTATATTATAAGTAGTTTTATTCTTAAATCTTATTACTAATAATATTAATAAGTATTATAATGATGCAGTACGGATGGGTTACAGTAAATCTACGGTAAATTCGCCGTGAATTTACGGGCACCCATGAATTCACGGTACTTTCACGGTGAATTCACCGTGAATATATAGTTTTACAGTAAATTCACCATATATATATTTAGATAGAGAAATTCCCCGCGAATTCACCTTGAATTCACAGGGGATAAAAAAAAAATTTCAGACCTTTATTTTTATCATTATAATAGCTATAACTACACGCCTTAGCTATATAGTTACCTTATAAAAGAATTAAGTAAATTATAGTTATTATTATTATAATATTATAATATTTATAAATTAAGTTATAAAATTTTTAATAATTAATAAATTAAGTAAGTATTAATTTAAATTTTTTTAAATTATTAAAAAAAGATAAGGCTTATTATAAATTTATAATAAATATATTATAAATAAAATATAAATTTAATATATAATTTCTTTTTATATTTTTATTATTATTTTTTAATTTTTAATTAATAAAAAAATATTAATAATTATTTTAATTATAAATAATAATTTTTAAATAAATAAATATTTTTTTATTTATTATATTTAAAAAAATATAAAGTTTATTAAATATTATAATAATATTTATTATTTAATAAATTTTTTATAATTATTATATTATTATATATAATTTATTAAAATTATAAAATTTTAATTTAAAAATAATTAAAAATTAAATAATAATAAAAAGAAATATTTTAATTTTAAAAAATTAAATATTAAGTTTAATTTTTTTAAAAAATATTTTAAAATAATCTTTAATTTAATATTTAATAAATATAAATTTAATTAATAATTATAATTATTATTATTATTATATTAATTAATAAAATATAAAAGCTTAATTATTTATTAAAAATTATTAAATAAAATTTATTTAAATTAATTTTAATTAAAATATATTAAATTTTTATATAAATTTTAATAAATTATTATTTATTTAAATTATAAAATATTAATTAAATATTATTTTTAATTATTAAATTATATATATTATATTTTATTAATTTATAATATATAAAACTTATATTTTATAAATTAATATTTTTATTATATAATTAAGGAAATTTAAAAAAAAATTAAAATTATAAAATTTATTAAAAACTTTTAAAATTTTTTAAAATTAAGTTTAATATTTAAATTATATTTAAAACTTTAATTCTTATATTTAAATTTAAAAAATTATAAAAAAACTTAAAATATTAATATTATATATATTTATATAAAGTTTTTTTTAATTTTTTATAAAATTTTAAAATTTATAACTTTTAATTTAATTAAAAAATATTTTTATTTATATAAAATATAAAATTTTTTAAAGGAAATAAAGTTAAATTAATAAATAATTATATAAATAATATTATTTTAAGTTTTTTAAATTAATTAAATTAATTTTAAAATTAATTAAAATATTTATAAATTTATTAAAGTTAAATTATTATATTTTTTATAATTATTTAATATAAAATTAAGTTAA